GTCTTAGTACCATGCTGTACAGAAATACTGTAAAATTTTGGTTTTGAAGCACTTTTTGTCAGACCTACTGACACAGCCTGGGTGGAGACATACAGAATGAGCAGAGATCTAGTCAGCAAGACCTAAGTAGAAAATTACAGGTTGCTGCAGTCTAGAGAAACAAAATACAAAACAGAACTGAAGCGAGGTATGTTAACAGTCTTCAAGTACTTAAGTTACACCTGTTACAAAGGTGACTGCAACTCCTCTATCCCCACATCAACTATAGTTAGAAGTAACAATTTTAATTTGCAGCAGTGAAGACTTAGGTTAGGCCATAGGCAAGAATTTTACAGCTGTAAGGAAAACACAGCATAGATATAAATTACCTGCAGAGGTTGTGGAATCACTGCTACTGAATGGCTGTAAGAACAATAACAAACATCTAGCCTATACTCTTTGTGTAGGTAGGTAGTGTTCCTTCCTGACAGTGGTTGGATAAAACCTAGGTGATTGCTTGAGGAACCCTGCACCTTGATCTTCCCTGAGTTCAGTACAGTAACTATAAATTATGAAAACTAACAGCACTGCTCCTCTGGCCTCACCTGTCTGTGAATCCTTGTTTCTGTCACTTCCTTCAGGGATCCAAATTATTTCCTGTTCATTCTGCTCAGAAGGAGAAGCATCTTTAGGTCCAGGAGCTTCTGCCACATCATCATAACCATCTTGCAGGGTATTTCCAGGCAGTGGAGAGACCTCTGGAACAGTACAGGTATTAACTATAACAGGGAGAAATCTTCCACTAGAGAGAGCAGTAGCTGATGATCCAGCAACAAGGACCTGTAATACTGACATTATGATGATAATGAACAATAAGAAAGCAAGAATCCTCCTGAGGACTCTAAGGTATTCCAGACATCGATATAGCTCCAATAATGGTTATACATTGCGGTAAGAAGTAGGAAGTGGAAATCAAAATGGTGGAGGGACAGGAGGGGAAACAAGATCTGGAGAAGGATGCAGTTAGTGACAGGGTTTATTTCGAGTAAGCTTCCCCACTGCATTTCATAATTCAGATAATCATAGAAACATAGAATAGTTTGGGTTGGAAGGGACCTTTAAAGGTCATCTAGTCCAACCCGTTTGCAATAAGCAGAGACATCTTCAACTAGATCAGGTTGCTCAGAGCCCTATCCAATCTGACCTGGAATGTTTCCAGGGATGGGACATCTGCCACCTCTCTGGACAACCTATGCCAGTGTTTCACCACCCTCATTGTGAAAAATTTCTTCCTTCTATCTAGTCTATATCTACCCTCTTTTGGTTTAAAACCATTACCCCTTGTCCTATCGCTACAGGCCCTGCTAAAAAGTCTGTCCCCATCTTTCTTATAAGACCCCTTTAAGTACTGGAAGGCTGCAGTAAGGTCTCCCTGGAGCCTTCTCTTCTCCAGGCTGAACAACCGCAACTCTCTCAGCCTTTCCTCATAGGAGAGGGGTTCCATCCCTCTGATCATTTTTGTGGCTCTCCTCTGGACTTGCTCCAACAGGTCCATGTCTTTCCTGTGCTGAGGGCTCCAGAGCTGGACGCAGTACTGCAGGTGGGGTCTCACTGGAGTGGAGTAGAGGGGCAGAATCACCTCCCTCGACCTGCTGGTCACGCTTCTTTTGATGCAGCCCAGGATACAGTTGGCCTTCTGGGCTGCGAGTGCACATTGCTGGCTCATGTCCAGCTTTTCACCAACCAGTACCCCCAAGTCCTTCATGGCACGGCTGCTCTCAGTCCTTTCATCCCCCAGCCTCTATTGATCCTGGTGATTGCCCTGAGCCAGGTGCAGGACCTTGCACTTGGCCTTGTTGAATTTCATGAGTTGTGGTTCATATTCTCCCACTTCTCAAATCTCTCAAGGTCCCTCTGGATGGCATCCCTTCCCTCAAGTGTATCAACTGCGCCACTCAGCTTTGTGTCGTCTGCAAACTTACTGAGGGTGCACTCGATCCCACTATGTTGTTGATAAAGATATTGAACAGTACCGGTTCCATTACGTACCCCCAAGGGACACCACTTGTTACTGATCTCCATTTGGACTTCGAGCTGTCAACTGCAACTCTTTGAATGTGGCCATCCACCCAATTCCTTAATTCATTGAATAGTCCATCCATCAGACTCAGTTCTGTGAGTAGTCAACTCTAATTCCTCAGGGGCAGCTAGCTATGTGGTCTGTACTTAACTGGAAGCCATGCCTCAGAGTATACTAGTTTTCACTATTTTATAGTATATACATACACACATGGACATACAAATAATACATATATAAAATTAAAAGTTAATCAAAGGACTCCTGTTTCACCTTTTACCTAGTACTCAGTCTGAACAAGAAAAAGAGATCTTATTTGGAATAATTGCCTTCTTTATGAGCATTTCAAAGCAAGTAAGGAAAAGTTTTTAGTTTAATTTTAAAGAATAAAAAAATCTTAATACAAGAAGACCAATAGAAAATAAAATTAAAGACACAGCACATCAGAGAGTGAGGGATATGGACAGCTGAGGTGCAAAACTGCTCGTGTCTGGCAGCTGATCTCTCTGAGACCAGGCAATAGCTAAGAGAGCTTTTTAATCAGGTCCAGGAAAATACATTTCTTCTCCAAACACTTGCTTTTCCTCAGCTTTTTCAAGTTAAACAACCTCCACATATGGCAAACTGCATTTTCTTCAGATCACTTCGATTAAAATTCCTTAATCAACTCCAATGGTATGCCAATATTCTTATCTGGAGCATGTTTTTCCTCTGTCTTAATTCTCTCTATCTCAGAAATGAAGCAACAATTTACAAGCTGTTGCAATTTCTGGGAGAAGCAGTTGTCAAATTATTGGCTTCATGTGACTGGATCTCTGTCAGGAGCGCAATACTACCAGCAAACATTTATTTTCAACTTCTCAGATAGAAGAGAAGACTAGCACTTGTATATAAGATTGTATGACATTCTTCCACCACAAGAGTTATACAGAAATTTTTGGTTCACATCCAAACATCTCTAGTGGACATGAAATACAGCAAGAAAAAAGTTTTAATCACCAATTAATGTTTTGGAAATTAAGAGCTACCCTGATTTTGGGTCTCTTTCTTTGTAGGATCCCCATCTTCCATTACCTTGAGTTGCTCCAGGACCATTTTCTTCATAACTGTCCCCACTATAAAACTGTGCCTTTGTTTTTGAACTCTCTGCATAAGAATCTAGACAAATGAAAAAGAGTGTGATATCAGATTAAACTCTCCTTAGTTGCTAAGACTACATAATGAGGAAAAGAGTAGGCTGCAGTAATAACACTTAAGTCAAGCAGATTCTTGGACAGTGACTATTACTCCTGCAAGGTAGGAGGTGCTTTCTGGTGAGCTGGAATATACTGCTGATTTACCTGCTATGCAGGGACATTCAATCCTCATTTGATAGGAGGAAGAAAGGGGGAAGAAGGAATGTTTTACCTGCTCTAGTGGGTGATGCTGTTGTTTCTGTCACACCTGCAAGGCTTACAGTGAAAGAGCCAAGAATCCCTCAGGGACCCCATAACACCTCCTCCTCATGGGGGAGGCAAGCCACGAAGGGAGAAAAGCAGTCAACAGGAGGAAGCCTTCAGAGGCAAATAGCTACTGGGAGGGAGATACAAATTATTCCTTTATTTGTTCCTGCTTTAAATAATTGCAGTGAAAGCATTTTTTTTCCCTTGGGTTTTTTTTTTTTCTTTTTTGTTTATTTGTTTGACCTATAGTGATCTATGCTCTATGGCTGCAGTGAGGACAGCACAAAATGAATTGTCCCTAGGAGAGGAATTGGCAGAGTCTAGTGGACTGGAAACGCCTCTCCTCAAAGTTTCCCAGTAGACTTGGGAGCTGTAAAGTATAAGATTGGGATCTGGGCCACAAGGAGGAATTTTCCCTTGACCAGAGCAAGACACACAGACCTGAAAGGCCAGTCATGCCCTGCTTTTCCCTCATCAGATTATAGTTGATTTCTTCATAGACAGCCTCAGAGAAGGGGTCATAGGATAGTCTGGAGCCTGAAAGTAAAAGGCAATGATTACTCACACATTATGTACTTATACCCAGGCTGGGGTCTTGAAAAGTAGAAGTGACCTAATGGGGTCTACATGGCCTGGTTGGTACCCAGAAAGTCACCGAGAGGTGCAGACTGAGGATTAAACATTGCTGGGCTCTTTCACTGCCAGACAGTAAGTGAAAATCTCATTGTGTCAGCAGATGCCATTCATCTCAGTCCCCCATTCCCCCAGCCTCCTCAGCCAGCCACGGACAAACACTTGCCAGCCATGTCAAGGAGGCATTGCATACCAGTCCTGAGGGACCCACCTCTCTGCTGTGCCCTGGCACTTCGTATCTGTCCAGCAAGAATGGCAAGGACCAGGCAGAGAAGGGCCCCCAGGATAATGCAAAGGATGGCAGGCGTTGAAATATTCAATGTTGCAGAGTGGTGGGGACGATCTGAATGGAAATGAAGAAGCAACAGAGAGAGAATCAGGTGACCCAAAGGGCTGCTCCTCTGTAGCCTCCTGCTGTGCCCATGCTAGCAGGGTGAGGCAGGTCACTTGCTGGCCAGTTGTGGGTCCTGCTCAAGCAACTAGAATTCAGCAGCTGGAGATAGTGCCATTTGGCTCTCCTTTACAAAAGGCTGCAGGAGGTGCTTTCTGGTGAGCTGGAATATACTGCTGATTTACCTGCTATGCAGGGACATTAATTCCTCATCTGACAGGAGGAAGAAAGGGAGAAGAAGGAATGTTTTACCTGTTCTAGTGGGTGATGCTGTTGTTTCTGTCACACCTGCAAAAGGAAGGTGAGTCCAGATTAAGGAAGAGGCAAGTGTGAAAAATAGGGAAAACATCTTCACATCATTTATGAGGTTCTTGCAGTAAAAATTATGAAGGGGCTAGTCACTGGGATGTACAGCTGACGTAATGTTCCTCTATCCACCTCCTTCCCAGATCTGTGTAATGAACCAAAGGACCAGTCACTAACCAGAGCAAGCCACAGCAGCGTCTTCCTTATGATCACAATTTTTGCCGAACAAGGGCTTAGCAGGACAGTCCCAAAGAGACAGCTCTGTTCCTTTACAGTGCACCTTCTGCAACCAGATGGGACCAGTCCCTTCCCCAAAGGCAGCTTCACTCAGAGCAGACAGAGCAGATCCACAGCCCAGCTGCCTGCATACAACGTTAGCATCTGCCACATCCCAGGAATCATCACAGACTGTTCCCCATGAACCTTGGTGCCAAATCTCCACTCTGCCTGAACATCCATCCTCTGCTCCTATGACTCGTAACTTCTCCCTGTCTGCAAAACACAGAAACTTTCTCTATTGCTGAAACAGCAGGAAGGTCCATAGAGACAAATAAGGAGAAACAGAGAGACAGGGTACCTGAACAACTTGTAGAGTTTGGACAATCAGCAAATGTGGCTGGAGATGTTGCCTCTTTTCTTCCTGCAGGATTTAAATAATGAAGTGAATAGTCTGATTATTCTATGAAAAGAGTGAAGGAATATAAAATGCCTGAAATTTAATCATCAAGTTAATTTTTTCCTATGATATATATATGGCCTATTTAGTACTTGGTGGATCATTGACTATTGCTATGAATTAAATAATCTTCCTGATGACTGTGCTTGCTTTCTTCTTGTGTGAGGCAGCTGCAATCCCTTTCAGGAAATCTGAATGCCATCTAGAATTCATTTATATTATAGTGGGAACCCACAGGTATGAAATACTGTCATATGAGCAGGCATTAGAAGTGGACCTTCAGATCTGAAGAATTCATACACTTGTCCATGGCTATGTGCATGTCCATGTGTACATGTTCCTACATACATGTAGGAACACCGACATGCCTCTCAACTTCTTGAGAAGTCTGATCCTAACTCAAATCTCACAGACTGACTGTGTATCATAGATTTTTGCTTTAAAAATATGCAATGGCACCATCCTATCAGGGACTTCCCCAGGATTTCCACTGGGTAACTGCACTTGATGACACTCATGTAATTTTAAGTCGGTCACTCATTTACATTAGGGATATAGACAAAGAAAAATGTTTGTGCCATTTGCGTGAAACTAGAAATAATATATACCAGATAACAAACGAACATGACATAATTACTAGTGTCCATATATGCATGCATAGGTTTATGTATATGTTGGGAGTCCTGTTTTGGACTGGAGATGCATTTCTAATTACCAGTGCAAGAAATGTGGGTCTCTTCTGCTCGGTTATCACATGACTGAGGATCCCAGGGGTCTGACTGACATTGCCAGAGAGAGCTATGTTGCTCAGTGCACTCAATGTGGTCCAGCCATGTGGGCCCAGAACCTCTGCCATATTTGAAGTCTCTTGCGATTTCCCCAACATCTCCACAGTTCAGGTGTTTGCACACCGTTATTGCAGTAAGTTGAGACATATGATTGGAGCAAATGCTTCCCCATGTCCCATTGTAGAAAACTTCTAGCCTCCCAGCACAGTCATTGCCATTCACGAGCCTCAGAGCCAGGAACTCTAGAAGTGAAGACAGAAAAATGGAATTAGAAGGGCCTGATTCTGCTAGGAATTTGGCTATGATGGGTGAAATTCAAATCTGCTAACAATCCTGTTCATCACTCTGAATGAGAAAGTGCTAGAGGAAACCACTCCAAAAGTGAGAAACACTTAAAATCAAAAATCGCACAGTGATCCTCTCCGGTTAGCCAGCATTCACCAGCATCTACATAAACAAACAACAGTGATGGCCACACTCCACAGTTGCAGGTATATTTCTTTCGTATGTTGAAGCCTATGTGCTGTGTGCTCCTCTGATTTGTTTTAGTGTGCAATGACTTGTTTACAATAATTTCAGAGCCAACTGGAATGGCTCCCCTGCAGAAGCACAGGGCACCCCTGCAGCCTTCAGTGACTGAAACCTTGCCAGTTATAGCAATACATTTCAGCCCTCAACTCTGTGAAACACCTATTAAGAAGTGTTTGAACATACATCCATTATGAACTCTACCATCATCATAATCATAAAATACATACACTATAAACTCTACCCTTAGTTCCAGACAATAGGTATTGACATTGTAACAATGTGCACTTATAGTCAATAAAACGCTACCTCTCATTCTGGAACCACAGTTAACATCATACCATTCTCAATATATATTTATTACAAAATTCAGACCTTGTCCCTGCAAAACACATGAACAAGAATGTAGTTTATGAGGTAAAGTAAGATTACTGTCTTCTATTTGCTTTATGCAAATGCACATGGTTCTTTTTCCAAAGGCTAAGTAGTAAGTAAACCCTGCTCTTCAAACAATAGAGACCACTTAGGGATTTTCACTGTTGCAGGCTTCCCAATCCAAGCATCCTCAGGGCTGGCTGGTTCTTTTTTATCACCCAGTTGAGCTCAGGTTTTCTTTTGGGCTGCTATGACAAGCTCCTGCCTCTAGGTTAGCTAGCCATGGAACTTTCTGGAGGTGAGGAAGGTGAGGATGTCATACATTCCTGATAGACCCTTTACCTAGTGTTTTTAGTATGGATTTATGTAAACCATTGCACAGCTCTACTTTTCCAGCTGCCTGGCAATGTACTCACTCTACTCATTCTTGAATGGTTGTATTTTTGTCTGATTCCTGCCTAAGTGGCATTCCATGGTGCCAACAGATAAGATATGTTTGTTTATTTCTTCTAGGGTGCTGTCTGCATTTGCCGTCTTGAGTGGGAAAGCTTCTAGCCACCCTTGTGATGCTCTGCCACCATGAGAACATAGCATCTGCCAGTGGTGCTGGGGAGGTCTCTAAAATCCACTTGCCAGGCATCTCCAAACATTAATTTCTCTCACTGCACACTGTTTCATCATTCACACTGTATGTTGTGTCATTCCACAGACATGTGGCATAAATCACTGCCTAATTGCTTGCATTATATCTTCCCAAGACAAGTCTAAGCAGCCTTCTCTGTCCTCAATCCCTCACAGCATACTCAGCAGTTCCATAGGCTCATCTATTTAAAAATAGTTTTCCTTTATGCTCCCATCCCAAATCTCTACTGACAGGTTGAGCCAGCTGGTCAGCTTAGTTGCTATGTTTCTCTTCCCAGTCTTTGAATCTGGGATATATGCATTATTAGCATGCCATACTAAGCAAGGCTTTCTTCAAGCAGCTGTTGTACTACTTCCCATACTTCTGCTCGAAATGGTTTTCCTCACTGCTGCCAGTTATCACAATGTCATTGTTTAAGCGATTTCCTAACCACATTATTCACCATCCAGGAATCTGTGTATGTGAGTCTGTTGGTGCTCCTTGAGTATGTTCCAAGGCTATTTCCAAGGCCTTTCAAACTTCTTCAAATCTCCTTCCAGACGGCAGCTTCTCCTGTAGAGGGGTTCCAAGGATTTTGGCCTCCTGTTTCCTGCTGTGCTTTTACAGGATCCATAGGTGAACAAACTCTGTTTCAGTACTTAATTCATCATTTGCTAGGGCTTTGACAGCCAAAGGTATTTGGTCTTCCTCATACTATTGATTTGCTGGCCAATGACTTAGTAAATTCAACTAATTCTGGTCCAGAGCTTAAACCAATATGTGCCGATTGGCAAAAGGCCAATAGCCATTTTTGCTGTGTAGTTGTGGTTGCTCTTTCCTCAGTATTTTGAATCCTTGAACCTAAAATTCGGGATTTCAAGCCCTAACATTAGTGATCACAAGCTTTTCAGGGTCCCTCTCCCTTTGCCTGTAACTACACTCCAGCAGTTCAGGAAACTGCAGTTGATTGTCCCCTTCTTCCCAGTCCTTTCAAAGCGGTATTTTATTTGTAGAATCAGCACAATTAGGCACCACTCAACATATCTGTCCATAAACTGATACCAAACCCCTCATACATTGTCCAGGACAGTGTTTACAAGTAGTTTATGCCCAAACTCCCAAAAGTCCTGTTGTCTCAAGCTTTCAGCTGTACCTCATTTGCAGAGCAGTGACTTTTAAGTTTTTCCACATTTCTCTATTAATTTACGCTCAGAGTAAAGACCCATTGGGTGGTCACAGTCTGGGGAGCAGTGTACTCTTTTCTGTAGGGCTCCTTAATTAATGTAACTAGGGCTACCTGAAAGGACTCATTTTTTAATTTATCATGAGCCCCTAGTTTCCCCTCCCAAGGTGTCAGGGCCTCCCTCCAGGCCAGTCAATTTAAGCTCTAGGTGCTCCCACAGGCAGCCTGAAGCTTGCAATTTGTCCATTACAGCAGTACTAGCTGCTAACTTCACCACAGCAAAGCAACACACCACTCTCTTGGGGTTTCACAGGCAACGTAACCCCTTTGCATCTCCCAGGCTGATATTCTTGGACAGAAAAATATCCAGAATATCCAGGCTCCAGGCCACTGGAGTTCTTCCCAATCACCTTCCCCTCCAACAAGTTCTGTCACACTCTCCATTTCCCACCTGTTTACACATAGTTCGTACCCTTCCCCCTCGTCTCCATCCTCTCCCTTACCCCTGACAATGGGTGTACCCCTTACACCATACCATGACAAATTTCCAATATCAGAATCAAGGCTCCTTTGGAGCCTTGAAGTCACTACAGTTATGCCAGTCCAAGGGCAGGGCAGGTACTAGTGTTGCTAGAGTGTCTCCCACATTTACGATCTGCTATCATGGGCAAAACAGTTTCAACTTGGGAAATTTAACTTAATTTTATTTTTCACACTTAACATAATCTTAATTATTGCTTTGGGTAATGAGGGGAAAAAAAGGAAACGTTAACAATTAAACAAACACTGAGGGAAACACTCCACTCTGTTAGTCCCATCTTCCTTTGTTTTCCCTCCCAATTCCTTCAGTGAGGCTGGCAGTGCAGGAGGTTGTGGTTTTTTTCTGCTACTCCTTGCTGCTTATTCATTTTCCTCTGCTCCAACATGGATGCTCCACAGGCTGAAGTCCCTTGAAGGGTTGCATTTTCTCCACTGTGGGCTCTCCAAATGCTGTGGTACCTTCAGAATTTGTACTTGGCCCAACGTGGCTGACCAACTGCTGTTCACAGGCTGCAGTCCCTTCAGGGTTGGTATCTGCTCCAGTTTGGGTCCTTCACAGTCTACAGTCCCTTCAGAAGAGTACCTGTTCCAGTGTGGCTTCTCCACAGGCCACAGCCCTTTCAGAGGCATACCTCTTCTGTCATGGAAATGATGTCTCCAGCCATGTTCCCCGCAGTGTCTTTTTCTGCTTCTCCTTCACTTCTCTCTCTTGCATCTGCCACTCTGTCTTAAACATGCAGAAGCAGATCCACCATATGCTCTTCTGATTGGTTGATGCTTTGGTGCACAGTGGGTTGTTTTCATTGTTTTCAAAGACAGCTATAACTGACTGTAATGGGCACATGGCAGTGGATGACCTCCAGTACAAAGAACACCCACAGCCCCTTGCTGTTGAAATCTTTACGGAAACCCTCCAATTTATTCCCCAAATATCCCACCACACACTTTTTGTGTGTGTGTGTGTTAATGCAAAATAAGGACTTCTGCAGGCCCTTTTTCATCTTGGTGGGACCAAGGGGATGTGCAGACAAACTATGCTTGTAGACAAGAGAGATCAAGAGGCTGTCCAAGCAAGTTTCCACTGTTGTCCTCTTCCCTTCGTATAACCCTCCCCTTTCAACACACAGGCTCAAAAAAGGATTCTCTGAACACACCTGAGCACAGGACTCCAGCATCCTCTTTGTGTTGGCAGTTGTGCTGGCCCCATGCCCTAGAGGGACATGCCCAGAGATCAGATTCAGCCCCAGTGCAGTTCACATCATCCAGCCAGATCTGTCCTGAGCCTTCGCCATAATGAGCAGAGACAAATGCCTTGATGGCATGTCCACATCCCAGCTGCTTGCAAACTACATTAGCATCTGATAGATCCCAGTTATCATCACAGATGGTGCCCCAGATGCCACCATGATAAAGCTCAACTCTCCCAGCACAGCGCTTTGTTCCATTCACCAGCCTGATCTGTCTGCTACCTGCAGGAAGAAAACCCAACTGTCAACATGCAAATATAATGATAGTGCACAGGTCAGTGTAATGGCTCTAGGTTTAAGGCACTTTTAAGGCATCATGTTCTTGTTATATTCTAGTTCCTCTGTTACAGTTTGTTGGGCAGAACTCCTGTGATGCTAAAACCACATAAAGGGAAAGGCCTACTCCTGCATCAGATAAATGTTTGAATAATTCCTGTGAGATGTTGCAAACAAGAAGGAGTGTCTAGTCATACTAAGTATATGCGGAGATCACCTTATCTTAGAAAGCCTGAGAAGCTGTTTTATATCTAAGCTCATTTAGTTAGACGGAGACTGAGACAGAGACAGAGACAGCTTCTGTTACAGATGGGTTACAAAATGAGATAAGAGTAGAAACAGTTCTAATTTACTTTAGGAAAGGCTGCAGGTATCTGTAAATATAGAAATGTCACAAAATAAACCATATTCCCAAGTGACAGTCAGGATGTGTGGCAGTCATGGCCAAATTAGTGTTCTTATGACTTCTGTATTTTATTTCTTTTTGATTCTGTGAGATAAATTCTTTGAGAAATTCAGATGAAGAAAACATTTATGTAAATTATACTTGCTTCCTTACCCTTAGAGTATACAAGCAGGTGCATATCACAAGCTCAGACCTGTGCCTATTCAGTCTGGTGAGACCACAGAACAAGGTGGGCTAGAGGCAACCCAGGAAGCATTTTGTTCCTTTCACACAGTAACTCACCTGAGCAAATCACACCAACATCTTCAGCAACTCCTGTTGGCACTCTCTGAGAATGGGAGGTCTTACAGAGCATCAGCTGAGTCTCATTTCCAGCACACTGGACACTTCTTAAGCCCACAAGACCCATGCCTCGCTCAGACCTTGGAAGGTAATAGGCTTTCTCAGCAATTCCACACTGGAGCTGTCTGCATACCACATGACCATCCTTAATGTCCCAGTCATCATCCAGGACTCTGCTCCACATGCCATGGAGAGAGATCTCAACTCGCCCATCACAGCGGCTCTCACCACCTGAGAGTCTGAGTGATTCAGCAAGACCTGGGCTCAAGAGAGATGGAAAATATATCGAGTAACATCTACTGTTCTTACTGCAGTAGCAATAACATGCAGGAGAGAGATGGAAGACAACTTTCTATGTTGGTAAAAAAGTAATTCTCACCACTGGTTAATGAGACAGCCTCTGTTAAAGCTTTGTTTGCTTTCATGCACACAAGGGTCTGCAATGGGAAGTGAGAAAAGCTTCCCCAGCTCAAAGACTAGATCCTGTGAGGAGTCACATCTAAACAATGTGAATACCTCTACTAAATAAAGTTTTTATGCTGAAACCAAGGTTGGAGGGGTGGGGGAAAGGAAAGGGCATTAAAGACAGGCTGACATACTGGACTTACTTGTCAGAGTGAGAGCACCAATACTGCTTTGGTCTGAAGTTGCACTACCCATAAAAGGCCACTCCTGACTTACCTGAGCAAATAACAGTGGCTGCTTCTCTGGCTGAACAGGTTGGATTTCCCAAAGTCACTTGAACACAATCCCACAGGCAGGATTCTGTCCCTTCACAGTGAAAAGCATCTCTCCATACTGGCCCATTCCCATCCACAAAATGGTCTCCTGTCTGGATTGATTTTGCATAGCCACAGTTCAGCTGGTGACAGAGAACACTGGCAGCTTGCAAATTCCAGTGGGAGCGGCAGAGTCTTCCCCATGTGTCTCCATGTTGGATCTCCACTCTGCCAGAGCATGTGGTGCCATTCACCAGCCTGCCCCCTGGGCACCCTGAATATAAGAGAAAGTGAGTACTGAGATGTCATGTTTGTACCTGCTCATGGGCATGACCTGAAAGTGACTGGGAAGTGGGAATGAACTTTCCTTAGCATTCAGTAAATGACTCCACTGGGCGACTGAACTTTCATATTCATAACTAGACTTCAGTCCACCCTATTTTACTGAGAAGAATGACTAGAAATCAAGATCTTGTCCTCTTTGCAATTTTTAAATTCAGGGCACTAGATTTCAGGGCTCCAGGTGAACCAATTAATTGTTCTGACCAGCCTCACTCAGGGCATCCAACTACGCATCCTCAGGGTACTGGTCCAAGGCCTCACTTAAACCTGGACGAGTCCTTCAGTCTGTGACTAGTGTAACTGTTTCCAGTCTTGTCTTTTGCTACTCCTGACTCCAACTACTCTCTAGTTGGACCCTACACCTGATTGATTGCTTTGCCTTGTATGAGACTATCTGTAGACCTTGTTATCAGTACCTTCCCTTGTCCTCTGTGCACACGCTTTGGATTGTGCCTTTATTGGTAAGGACACTGCCTGTGTTGTCCTCACACTCTGCCCCCAGCTCATCCTGCCTTGTGGAGCAGCCCTATTCTTGCTGTTCCCTGACACTAGGAACATTTCACAGGGAACAGCCTTGTGGTACAGGTGAAGTGCAGCCTCAAGTCCTGGAAATGCCGGTAGCAGCAGACAAAAGATGGAGCTTGGCTCCAGTCACCCTCTGGATTTTGGGTCCATATTTTTCCTCAAAGAAGGAGTTTTTCAGTTCTTCTCTTAGACCTTTCTGATACTCACCTGAACATACCACACGAGCGTCTTTTCCAGCAGGGCATTCATCATGACCTAGCATACTCACAGGACAGTCTCTCAGGCGTGAGCCATTCTTCTTGCAGCTGAATGTGCCATTCCAGATAGATCCATTTCCTTTCTCGAGGGACTGTCCACCTGGTATCAGTAGGGCAACTCCACAGTCCAGCTGCTGGCAGAGGGCATTGGCAGCTGATAAATCCCACAGGTAGTCACACAGGGTTCCCCATGTGCCTCCATGAAGAAGCTCTACTCTCCCTGAACATGTGGTACTGCCATTTGCCAGCCTGTACCCACCATAGCCTGCAGAAAGAATAAAGGAACGTAGCAGTTAGTTACTTTTTTGTGTGTGTGCTATTGCATTGAAAATTGTAAGAGAGATCTAGCTGCAAGGAACTAGCACTCACTATGTCTCAGGTTACTGGGAAGCATGTTAGACCAGGATGCTCATAAGCCAGCTCTGAAAAAAAAAAGTCTTTATTGTCCATGTTGTAGCCTGCACTACGTGACTAAATGTCTTTTGACTCCTTAAGTTCAGTCTCTCCTCCTCTGCTCTGCTCTCTCCTCCCCCCACAATACCACAGCTACCTTGCAATGTCTTTTCTTGCAGAGGCAGTTCCAGCATTCCCTTGCAATTTGGAGCATGTGAGAAACTCAGAGTAGGACCTACTAGTAGCACTCTCTCTGTAGCTGGTCATCTCACATTACCCAGCAAGCAGCAACTGCAGTATGCAATTCTCAACTTTCATCCATGCCACAGCATAAGGCTCTGAACACAACAGGCCATGCTCATCAGCATATTCACAGCAACTTAGAGTGCAGCATGGGTAGGACTGTAGTGTCCTGCTGCCAGCCCCCTGCAGTCCCTCTATCTTCTCACACTGTTACTTCTTACTGTTGCCAGGTCCTTGCAATCATTCTTCCCCTAATAAGACTTGGATTTCTGCTCTGGGCTGTGATTCCTGCAACACAGAGGCAGAAGCCAAGGTATCAGTTACTGATATCTAACTGGGCTGTTTGGCTGCCACAGCTCCCCAACCAGCTCTTCAGATCACCATGGCCAGTGGGACAGTGTCCAAGGCAGTCTCGAAACAAACTGCAGCCCTTTGACTGGGAAATGGACATGAACTGCAGTCCTTTCCAGGTTTGTTTTATGACATGATGTTACCAGCAACTCTGCCCCATGTTTGGTTTACCCCTTTTGATTTGTGCCCTCAGGAAAAGTTGTGTTTGCTAGGTCTAATCATCACTTTTGTAGTGGGTTGCAATAAGTTAGCTATATTTAAAGCCCCCAGCAGCCATGACTGGATGGAGTTCTTAATGTTAATTGCTGTCACAACTAAAGTCATCCAGGTCTCTGACAACATTTTTTTTTTTTTTAACATAACTTAAATTTGTAACTTGTGCCTCCTTTGACGTTTTGGAGGTATGATATCTCTCCCAGTTTTATAATTAACTGAAGTGCCAGGGATTAACATATACACTCGCAGCACAGAAAATTAATTCGTTTCTGCTTGTCTACTTTGTCCATCTCACCTTTCATGTATACGAGAAAGGCATGGAAGGAATTCTCAGCACTATTGAGTGCATAGCATAAAAGAAACTACAGCTCTTTTGAGATCCGCATCCCTGGTGCAGAATTGAAGTGGTTAAAACAGCCCATGTTAAATGCAGACTCTCAGTAGAGTGAATGAGAGATAGTGGGTCTGCTCTCTATTACTTCCTAGCCTTCCCTGGATGGCTCAAGGCGTGATAGGGGAAGCACCCAAGAACTCTGAGGACCACAGAAATATACAAAGGTTGTGGGTTGACAGGAAGAAGACATATAGGACACATGCAAATTACATCCATCAAGTCCAAAGTCTCACCTGAACATACAACAGTGGCATCATGAGAGCATGTCTTACTATGGTGCAGCATTCTGGGACAGTGTGCAAGGTGAGTCTCATACCCTACACAGTGAAACTCTTCTTGCCAGATCGGTTCATGTCTGTCTCCAAAGTGGGTTCCTCTCAAGATATCCACAGCTTGGCCACACTGTAACTCATTACATATAACAGAGGCAGTTTTGAAATCAATATGTGAAAAACAGACCGTAACCCAAGTTTCTTCTTGCTTTACTTTCAGATGTCCTGAGCAGGCAGTGTCCCCTCCAGTCAGATGCAGCCCAGAGAAACCTGGAAAAAAACCCCAAGAAATCCAGCATCAAGAGTTGGTTGTACTGACCTAATTTAATAACTCCCATACCTTCATGGGCAAGACACATGTCACTTCTCTGAGGACCACTATCAATTTTAAATAACTGTTGTAGCAATTCCTGCATGCCACTGACAAGAGAGAAAATGGTGTGTGGGAATGCTTGTTTCATAGTATGTGAAAATACTAAACCCTTGGGAAGCTACAGGAGGGAAGTTTTGAACATTTGCCAAATACTTGAAAAGTAGCAATCCTCAAATAAATAAATAAATAACCATTTACTAGTGTGTGTCCTCAAGACTTCATTATTCAAATGAATAGGAAGCTGAAGTGCTCCAGAAAGAGGTAAGAGGAAATGTTGCACCTATCTTCAGAAAAGGCTAAAAAGACAGGCTGGTCAGACTCATTTTGGTACCTGGGAAAAACACAGAGTGAGTTCTCCTGGAACACATTTCTGGGCGCAAGAAGGTGAATGGGAAGAGTCAGCGTGGTTTACCAAGGGTAAATCATGCCTGTATGACCTTACTACTTTCTCTGATAAAAGTGACTGGATTTGTGGATGAGAAGAGACCAGTGCGTGTCATTTACCTCACATTTAGCAAGGCCTTTGACACCGTCTTGCAACAATAGTTTTGTGTCCAAACTAGGATGTTACAGTCTGAGTGGGTGGACAACTACATGATTAAAAAGCTGATTGGTTGTTCAGGCTCAGAGGGTAGTGATTAGTAGGTTGCACTCTACCTGGAGGCTGGCAACAAGTGGAATAAAACTTGTTGGGTCTTTCCTGGGACCTGTTTCTGTTCAAAATCTTTACTGACAATCTGGAGGAGGTGATGGAGTGCATTTGAGGGGTGGCGGGAGAGAGCTGCCATTCAGAGGGACCTAGACAGGCTGGATTAATGGGCTGACAGGAGCCTTATAAAAATCAAAAAGGACAAATGCAATGTCCTGAAGCTGGGAAGAAAAAACCTGTTGAAATAGTACTTTATCCAAAGAGCAAAACCAAGCACATCTTGCAGAGGATGGCAGATGAACAGACATTGGATTTGTTTGCCATTGCAGACTGTTCCATCTTAGCTTACATGAAGATTTGGAGAAGGGCAATTGTATGGTGTAACACAGCATTTTCTTGCCTTTTTAGCCCCCATTCCTCATCAAAGACAAGTCTAGTACTGCTCTCCTGTTGCCTGGGAGAGCTGTGGTAGAAACAAATAGTGTTTCTTTTTCTGTTCTGTGTCATTTACTATGTATACTTCTATTCTATGTCATTGCTGTGCCCAGGCAAAGGAGACATACACTTGTAGTCAGTGGAAGACTTAACTGCTGGTGCAACTTTCTTTGGCTGAGTGGAGGCCATGGAGGAAGTGTTACCTCTGTGCAGTACTTGGCTTTATCCAGCTAGGACAAAGTTTGATCTCAGCCTTGTACCATTTTTCTGTTATACAAGGTTGGATGACTTCTTACCTGAGCAGATCACTCCAGTGTCAAAGTAATGAGGGCAGGTAAAAGCACCCCATCCTGTATGTGAGCAGTTCCAGAGAGTGTATTCATCACCACGGCAATCAACTCGATACAACCACGTTGGTCCAGATCCTTCTCCAAAAGGAGCTCGATTAAGGGCTTGAACAGCAGATCCGCATCGTAGTTGCTTACAAACAACCTCAGCATCTTGTATGGTCCAGTCACCATCACACACAGTTCCCCACTGCTCCTCATGTTTTACTTCCACTCTCCCAGAGCAGGGGCCAGTTCCATTTGACAGCCTCAATTCATCAGCACCTTCGTACACAGGCACAGAGCAATGTTATCAAAAGGACAGTGCCTAGTCACGATTGTCTATTGCAGATGTCTAATGAGATTATTATTACTCTTAATTTACTTTTAAATCAGACTTATTCAGTTCACCTTTCTAAATAGTCAAGTGTAAAGTTTTTTTTTTGAGGGAGTTGTGTCTGTATTTACAAGTTTGAGCTAACTGCACTGCTAAAATGTAAGTTATTTCTAATGACAGGTGAGCTTTCTTTTCTTCTGACCTATCAGGGCTAGGAAATGCTGAGTAATGTCCCTGCTGTGTGATTCACAAAGGTTCCAACAGAAACTCCTCGTTTTTCTTTGTTGTTCTGCCATGATGACATCCATCTGAAAATGTTAACTGCACACCAGTTTCTTCACACCCATGTTCAGTATAGTGTGAAAAAGCAATTTCCCTTGTCTGCCTCAATGTCTTCCTCTTAGACAAACTATTACGTGCAACTCAGTGTCCCAATACTCTTTATTAATTTCCTCCTCTCTTGCCCTAGCCACAGGGTCCCCTAGTTGGGCGTAAACAATGAAAGAAGAGAATTACTTATGAGGGGTGGCAAGCTATCTCAGGAGATGCAGCAGCATAAGCAGAAGACAGACAGGTAGGTCTTCATGTTGTTCCTCATGCCCCACCATCTCCTGGAGTAAGGCTGATGCCCAAAGAACCCGTTTCCTGCTCTGCTCCCAGGTCTCCCTCTTTACTTTGACACGGATACATGTTTCCCAATCCTTCTAACTATGGACTCAGAAAATAACATTACAGTCATCACAGAGCATTTGATAAAGAGCCTGACACAACAGGGGATGCACATACTGGTTTCTTGCTTTACAGTGTTGGACCGCTACTATAGATGCTTCAAATATTATACAGTAGCTTAGCATGGGGACTTAAAAACTAGAAAACAGAGGGAGAATTTTGTTACATTCAAATGCAGAAATGATGGTGGGACACAAAAGCAGTTCTTAGGAAGCCAGACTACACAAAGGCCTGCTAGGACCCAAGAAACACAGAACAAGTCTGAGTCTGCATCTTACACAGACACAGTAAACATTGGAAAAACTGAAACTTGTAGCCCAAGATGTAATGACATATAAAGAAAAAAAGTTGACTCGTTCAGGAATTATCTTAAGGTTTTTTTTTCCAGTCAAGAATTTTAAGGCAAGAGTTTTGGAACATTTTTTCATAAAAAAAGATTCTTTACTTGCAGAAAGGCTCGTATCTGCTTGAGTAAAAAGCATACACAGAATCACAGAATCATAGAGCACATTGAGTTAATATTCTGAATTGACATAGACAATGATTTTCTGTAGATGTTTGTGAAAACAAAGGTTGAAACAAAAGAACTAAACCTGCCAAATTCCATCAAATACAGTCACTGTTGTAATTGAACAACAATATGCATGGCATTAATTTATTAGGTTATGTGATAGAAATCTTGCCTCCATGTGCAAAGGAGAACAGAGGAACAAAGGCAGGTGGGGAAAGCCCAATAATCCAGTTAGGGCCCTGCCCCGACCCCTTCTAGGACTCTCCCAGCAGAGCGATCAGCCCCATTGTCCAGGTGTGAAATCCATCAGAGGAATCAACATGAAGGCTTTCCGTGTCACCTTAGAGACTGACGAGCGCAACTGACGAGCGCTACTGCCTTGAGGGTACGGGACACTCTGTGGGATGCAAGAGAAGAGTATCTTGGAATTGCACAAGGCTTATTATGGAATGTTTAGGAGAGGAATCAAAGGTGGGGAAAGGGAGGGATCAAGGATGTTTGGGTAGGAGCAAGCATGGGAAATTAGAAGGGTAAGTGAGGATCAGTGTCAATGGGCACAAACTGAAATACAGGTATTTCTATCTGACTATCAGGAAACACTTTTTTACCATGAGGATGACTAAACACTGGAACAGGTTACCCAGGGAGGCTGTGGAGTTGGCATCCTTGGAGGTATTCAAAAGCCATCTGGACATGATCTTAGGCAACTGGTTCTAGGAGGCTCTGCTTGAGCAGGGGGGGGTTGGGTGAGATGACCTCCAGAGGTCCCTTCCAATCTCAACCATTCTGTGATTCTGTGAAAAGAGGCCAGTGGTGGGTAAGCAGATTGCTGGTCAGTGTGCTTGTCTGGCTATGCCCTGCACCTAATCAGCACTGTCTGTTGTGTCTTCTTATTAAAATTGATTTCTAACTGTTTCCCTGGGTGAGGTGACTCTATGTGTGTGTGTGTATGGAGTTCTACGTGCCAGCAGCTGGAGCTGGACCACAGGTCATAGAAACACATGTCTTTGGTGCTGTGCTGGTTTCAGCTGGGATAGAGTTAAATTTCTTCACAGTAGCTTGTAGGGGTCTATGTTTTGGATTTGTCATGAAAACAGCGTTGATAACACAGGAATGTTTTAGTTATTGCTGAGCAGTGCTTACACAGTACCAAGGCATTTACTGCTCCTGACTTGTCCCTGCCAGTTAGTAGGCTGGGAGTGCACAAGAAGTTGGGAGGGGATATAGCTGGGGACAGCTGACCCCAACTGACCAAAGGGATAGGCCATGTGATATGACATCTTGCTCAGCAATAAAAGCTGGGGGAAGAAGGAGGAAGGGAGGATGTTATGGTGTTCATCTTCCCTACTTTCCCT